AATCTCAGCTGAGAATACTTTTCAGCTGGGAAAGGCACTTTTAGCACTGTGAGAAATAAAAAAAAAATCCTCTTAAAAGCAATTATGTAGGTGGAATGGAAGTTTCCTCTATGTGGCGGCTGACAGGCTGTCATTTCTTTTGAGTCCATAGCACAGAGATCATCTGGAGATTTTAAGATTAGACCAGTCTTAGAATTTCTTGTAGCAATTTCTGATTCAAAACTGGATGTACTGTTTATCGCTGATTCTGTTTCCACAGGGACAGTGAGGTTTTCACCATTTTCTCCCTACAAAGGAGATACCTTTGCAAAACATATAATTTTGTTGCATTTTATTTACATTCAGAAATAGAAATATGACAGCACTTAAGACTAGCCAGAGTGCTGGGCCAAGAAGGTCTTTACAACTGTGCTCGTTTTTGCCAACCAGTATATTTTTCATTCTCGCTTTTCTTATGTCCACTCTCTCCAATATTGGTGTTTATTCCAAGTATATACATACATCCGTTGCACTGCACATGGTTCCGTTCAGTCCTTGCTCTTGTTTTTGAAGCCCAAGGTATTTAAAAAAGCGAGTCTTTTCAATTTAAGTAGATCTCTATCTAAATTAGATATATTTATAAAAGTGATGTTTATTTTATTTTTATTAGTGATGACCTCTCTACTTCACTATTTACCAACCTAACACGCTCACACGGTGGGTATAAAAGTATCTCCTTTATACCCTCTCCAGTCTTTCCCCCGCATCAGCAAGACACATTGATGTAGCTCTATAATTTACTGTTCTTAAATTGCATCTTTGTCAGGGCAGTTCTTAGGGTTGTGGAAGGCCCTTGACCAAGTGCACAGCCTTATATTGTTAACAGTTTGACAAGAGAGTGATTCATGTGCAACAGCCTTTAATGGTTGAGATTTTGCTGCTGTGCATGTTAGCTGGAGAGCAATTCGGGTAAGTGGCCCTGGGAGCACTGGAGCTGGGCAGGCTCTTTGATGGGCTTGTGCTGAGTGTGGGAGCTAAAAGTCAAGTGTAAAACCAGCTCTCAAGCATGTGTGCTGAGTCTGACAGAATGCTGGGTGTTTGGTCAAATTCCTCTTTTTTCTTGTGGACACAATTTTTAGTTGGAAAAAGACTACAGTTAACAAACAAACCCAAATCAAACAAAAAAAAAAGCCTGAGCAGTTAAAGTCATATTTAGGCAGCAAATCTTGCTATCTCACTGTGGAAAAGTAGGGGAAAATTATTACCTTTTATGTACGGTTATTTGTTTTAGAGACTTGAAGCTCCTGAAATGTAACCAGCAGCTGAAGGAGTATCATCGTAATTTTGTCTTTGTTTCATTGCAATTGAAACTGAGATGACAAAATCACTTACTGCCACCTTTACAAGGAGAGAAAGAGTTAGACAAGTTTTTCATAACACTTAAAAAGCTAAACCATTTACCCTTAGTATAAATCTGCATATAGAACTACATTAAATAATAAAATGAAAAATTCTTACAGATTTGTATTACATTTAATGCCAACACCATAATTATTACAATGGCAGTATCTTAGGAGTCTCGCAGAACTTTCTCTAGTAAAACATTCTTCGTATGTGGAGGTTTTTTTAAAACCCTGAATGGATAATGTTTCCAAACAAAATTAGGATTAGTAAATCAATTAAAAAACCAAATTTCTCACAATGGCGATTCAAGACCTGGTACTCTGTGTTAAACTAGGATTCAGAAAAGATTGCAATAATTCTTTTTTGCTTCATCTTTTATAGTAAAATGCCTTAAAAGCCTCTGTTCTGCTTACTGGATTACTTGGAGTTGTGCTTTTGACACGGTTATTTGTTTATGACAGTTACTAGGAAACCTAAGGACTAATAATTTGCATTTCAGGTATAATTGGCAGTTCAGTGTTGGGTTTCCTTCAGAGTCAGTCCTGATGCAACCTGTTAGGTAACAGACTAAATACTATCTGGAAGATCTATGTCTTGTTTGCAGGTAGATAAGCATCTTTCAACTGTAAGATTAAATAAAAACTTTAAAATGTTAAGTTTCTCTGATGACTCTGTCACACCTGCTCTGTTATGTTCTTTTTAAACAATGCAGCGGCTCTTTGGAAATGTAAATTATAAGCATTAAATAAACCTCTTGAAGTTCTGATTGCTGAAACATGAAATTTTTAGTTTTCTGGATCTGGAGAACAGAAATCATAAACAGAATTTGAGGTTTCCTTAAAATAAATTTAGGTTAGAGCTGAAGTTAAAGATGATATTTCAAAACTTTTAGCTGATGGGACAACTTTTTCAAACAGTGTCAAACCTGTTCTCCAATTCATGAAGTAAGTGTGCAGCAGTAGTTCTTATGTCGAGCAAGGAAACCAAGAATATAACCCCCCTTTGGCTCTGAAGAGTGCTACAATTTAAAACATTTCTGTGTATCACTGCAAAGGCTGTAGCTGTGTGCACAGGCAGGCTTGTATGCGTGGTTTCTATGGCCACACTGTTGTGCCAATGCAAATACGAAGTTTCCATAGGCAATTATACTTGCATGTGTCTATTTTACTGGATCTACTATTAGCTGCTACCTGGACAACTCCATCTCCATTTTCTTTACTGAAACTGATTGCCAGAGTAGCAAGTGTAATTTGAACTACTTAGTTTGTAGTAGATAAAGAGCACCAACCATCTGTGTGATTCAGCAAGTCTCAGCTACTAGAGTTTGTGTTGTAGCTTGATAACCATTAGCGACCTGAGCTTGACGAGGTCTGGTAGTTCAGTTTGAGACCCAACCTATGTTTTTGGCTCCAGAAACAAGTTGTACATTGCCCTCATCATTTCTTTCCAGCACTGCAAGTGGCAGTGATGCCAGAAGAGTCACAGTCTGCTTGTCCGCCTTTGCATCTGCTCTGTGCAGTAACTTCAATCGCTGTTAAAAGGAAAGGCATATTTAACCATCAAATTTTTATTTGTTTTAGTCAACTGTAAAAGCAAGTGCTAGTATCTGTAAAATAGTTTTTTGGACAAATGGCCCCTTAGGCCATTGACTGTGCAATTCTCATGAAGGTGCATTAAAGTGGCATATGTATCTATCTGCTGAGGAGTAACCTAGTACTTTTTCTACCACATTTTCCAGCTCAAAAGTGTCCAAATTCAGGGAAATGTGGACAGAGCTCTTACACGCGTTAGAGTCCAACACAGCTTGAGATCATGCAAAGTACTGCAGTATCCCTTTGTACCTGTGTTTGTTAATAGTATTGCTTAGTCAGAAAGAGTGATATATTTTTTCCCTGTTGCTAGATGTGGCTTTCCTGTGCATAAAAATCTCAATTTGTTATCGAAGTGGAGGTAAACTAATTGGACTCAGGACTCCTGGAGTGTGCAGGGTACAGCCCTGACCCATTTCCCTACCTTGAGGTAGACATTCTGCAGTTTTGTCTTTACTTAAGGTATTATGGCAAGATATCTATGAAATCCTAGCTATTTTATAACAAAATCTGAAACATTATGGGTCAGTTGAAGATAAAGTCTAGTTTTCTCAGTATTTATATTTCTCAAACTGTGGCCCATAAAGCAGTAATAGTTTATAAGACCAGAGTAAGTGGTATCCACCTAGCCCGCAAAACCATATTGCCTTGCAAAGACTGGGTAAATCTGAAGGAAAAAAATGAATTTATTTTAGTAACCTAGTATGCTTTTAGTCAGGGCATTTGCATTTCAAGCTGCCTGAAATGTGAGTATTTTACTTTCAAATGCCTGGCCAAACCATTTAAAGGAGGTTTTATCAGAAGTGAGATTGATTTATTAATCTCAAAAAGGACACCCTAAAAAATGCAGAGAATGACAAAATCTCCTTACAGTGGATGCAGCATTATAAGTGTGGTTCATGTTATAAAGGGCTAATGGGGTCTGGCTGATTACATGACTGCTGTGTGATACATAAAAACCAGGTAACCAGACATAGGCAGAGCAAACTTTGCAGCAGGAGTGATAGGAGTGTCTCTCCAGCCTGTATTTTTCTCTCGAAAGCAGCCTTCACATGCTTCAAACTTCTGGCACCAGGCAGCAGAGGAGCAGATTTCTGTCTCCTCCAGTCTCTTGCAGAGCTTTTTACCAAAATAGCAGTGTCCTTCTGGTGGCGTGTTTTTTGTGTGATGTAGCTTTGAGGTTACAGACTCTTGTGAAGCATGGACCAGGAAAGGAACAGTCGGCATCAGTCCTTTTCTACTTGGAGAAACTGCTCAAACCTCTGGAAGAGCTACCCTGAAAACTCTGTTCATAAGAGTATTAGAAACAATATTTTCTTGAGAATATGGGACAACTGATGCATTAAAAAAGTGGAGGGATTTAATACAATTTTATTTTAAAATCTAATTAGTTATTTGTCAAAAAGTCAATTGGTTACATTCATGTTTTTTTGAAATAAATCAGGCATCTTCAAGTTACATGTCTTCAAATTACCTAGGAGCATTAAACTAATATTAGAAATGAAAAGTCCAAAAATACAGTATAAATATTTAACTCTAATTTACTTTCATGTTTTCAGACTTCTGTTGTCATCCTGTGGCCTGTTTTTGCAATGTATTAAAGAAAGGAAGCCTAATCACCAATTTTGTTATTTTATAAAAGAAAGCAAACCAGAAATGTAACATAGCGTTGAGAAATATAAACCCCTTTTATTGACTCTTGTTGCTTTTTATTTCAAGAAGAAACCTCTTTTGTTTGCCTTCTAGGACATTTTTAATTTTTTAATTCAGCTTTGTAGGTATAAAAAAGTCAGACACAACTAAGGCGAAATTTTAAATGAGCTGAAAAAATAATAAAGGGATGTTTAGAACTTTTTAAGCTTATCAACAAGGCACAATATTGAAGTATGGAGATATGACCTTCAGAAGGTTTTTTTGTGTAGTCCGAGGCATAAACAGGAATATGCAAGGAAGAACATTTTTTCTTTCATGTATGCTTCGTTGAACTGTTGGTAAACATTATAATTTCCCACCTTTCTTGTCTTTTAGCCACATAATCAATGAGCTTATAGAAACAGAACGGGTTTACGTAGAAGAACTTCAAAGTATAATTGAGGTAAGGAACTCTTCTGAAATGACTCGTGGTGCTTACCCTCTAAGGCACACCCTTTGCGGGCTGAGCACCCCCAGCTCCCACTCGATTTCGGAGTACACAGGCTCTGTTTGCAAGATAGCTCAGCCTTGGAGATGGAAAATGAGAAGGATGTTTTGAACAACAAAAACCCCTCAGGCTTAAAGGAAGAGGCTCAAAGTTATGGACAGAGGAATAGTTACTAATGTGCTTTTTCAGAATATCACCAATAAGTCGCAGAAACAGCCCTGTTGATTTCTGTGGGGCCAGACACTAAATTTCTGTGAATGTAGGATTAGAAAATTATTGAGAAAAAGGAAAGCCCTCTTCCTCCTCTTGTTTATTGTCCCATGTAGTGTCTAAACACAGAAAAGAGCAGCGCAGACTGCAGATATAACTCTTGAGCCTTTGAACTTCGTAGGATACCAGCATACTCTGTGTGTGTGGAGTCTGAGGTTCCTAGTCTGTGGGAGGGTGGAGGCTGAGTAGGGCTCAGTTATGTTTGCATTTGGGTGGGACTTGAAGGACTGAGTAGTTTCTTTTTACAACCACGTGGTTGTTTCTTTACTGGATTTGATCTGTGGGAGCTGACAGCTCTGATAATTGATATATTACCCTAGAGTTTAAAATCTGCGCTTGGAATGTTCTTCTCTCAAAGTTTTTGTTGAAGAAACGCAATCCAGTTTCTACAAGAAACAACCAAATAATCAAGTCAAATACCACAGTTCAACAGATAAATCCAAACTTCAACAAATAAATCCAAACTAACCCTTTTTCAATTAATCCTAGGGACATATTTTCATCTGTTTTGTTGATCCAGTAATCTGTCCATTTGTGATTAAAAATGCATTTGCACAGCTATCAGTGATAAAAGCCCTGGGGTAAATTAGAAGCATCAGAAATTCATGGGAGCAACAAAGAAGCAGGCATAGGAAAAGCCTTTGTATGCTCTGCTGAGAACAAAAAGCACACGGACTTTGGGGCTTTTCAGTTTCTCAGACACAGTCCTTCTTCCTGGGTAAAAACAGACTGGTTTTATTTTCCACTCTTCTCTGCAGGGGTATGCTTCAGCAATGGACAATCCCAGCTTAGTACATCTGATTCCTTCTGCACTCCAGAACAAGAAGGAAATTCTTTTTGGGAACCTCCCAGAAATCTACGATTTCCACAACAGGCACGTGGGGACTGGTGGTTGTCCTGTGCCCTCGGGTGCTGCTGTCATTGCTACTGCCTTTTTGTGGTGCACTTTGTCATGCTTTCTCATACACAGGCAGGAAATGTCATCCTCGCTTTGCCTCTCTGTGTGTCCTATAAAAGCCATGTGTGGAGAACACCTCTGAGATCATCTGTTTCATTTTATTTTGTGAAAGATTATTCATACAATCAACTGTGAACCACATCCCATTTTCCTAAAATATATATACATATGTTTCTTCATGTGTCAGAATTGCTATCTTCCCCATTGGATCCTCTTACTACAAAGGTGTAGGCTTTAAGCTGGATTTATACAGAAGCTCATACGCAGCGTGAGTGGGATGTTACATTACTGCTTGCTTTCCTTTCTCCCTCTCAGGATTTTCCTTAAGGAGATAGAAAATTGCATTGAAAATCCTGATCTTCTTGCCCGATGCTTTTTGAAAAGAGTAAGTAAATCCTTTTGCAGATTTGTATGAATGTCTATGGTCTCATCCTATGCTATTTACAGATTTATGCCTATCCTTTCACTCTGATTGCTTTTGTGAAAGAAAGAAACTCACATAAGCAGATATTCCCAAATTAAGTCCCAGTTAACAAGTGTGTATTCTGAAATTTGAAACTTTACCTGGTTTACTGACAGGAAGAGATCTGTCAGTGTTTTTCTCACGTATTTTAAGCCCTGGATTAAAAAAAAAAAAAGAAAGCAATCCAAGTGTTTATCATGCTTTTCATATCTGACAAATCTATACCAGCAGTGTGATGTATCCCAGACACCACCCTGCTGTAAACAAGCAGACAGCGCTATCACAGCAGATCACTCTGAGTGCAGACAGTGCATCCTGTTCCTGCCTTATCTTATCTCTTTTCTCTGCACCATTCAGACTTACTCTCCTAGAACTGATCCAGCAGAGCCTACCACCTTCCTTGGTGGTGAAACCCCACCAACTCCATAAGACTCTGTGAGGTTGATTCCTTTACTTGTTCACATAATTCAACAACCAAGTGGGATTCTCCGCACTTATATGAAGTGGTGAGGATCAGCTGTTTGGTTAAAAGTAGAATGAGCCCAGTTTATGAAAAAGTCAAAAGCCAACAGGCAGTGATGGCTTTGGTCAGCTGCATGTGCCTTCGCTTCCTGTGACTTTTGGTGCCTACTTCCGGGAGTCATGTCCCTTCCCCCCACCCCTCAGTTAGCATGGCTGTTAGTTCTGTTTCCTGTAACATAACAAAAAGTGCTTGTTTATATAGCACTCATTTAGAGGCCCTACTAATAAGAAATAACCTGTTTTGGTGGGTTGCTACTGTTTTCATACTCTGACAAAACTCCTTGAATAAAGACTCTGTGTTTTGCATGAGAAATGGGAAAATCTGTCCTCTTCACTGCAGCCAAAGGTACCTCCTGCTTCTACTGAATACTACATCTAGCATTTGCTGCTTTTCCGGGGTACATATTAAATCTTTTTTTAACAAAGTGCTGTATGAAATACAGACAGATTTAGATGAAACATACACACCTCAGTTGTCAGAGTTGCTGAGCCCTGCCACATCTCTAAGATTTCAATGAGAATTATGAACAAGTGATACTTCCAGAGGGTATGCATGTTCCTAGTTTACCAACAGGTAAGAGCTGAA